CCCCAAAACCCCAAAACCCCAAAACCCCAAAACCCCAGTCTATGCTTTATGGTTGAAATTGGAGATTATTATAGAAGTGGCAGGGATCGTTCTTGGCCTAGGTTTAGATAGGGGGGATTTAGCTGTTTTTGAGAGTTTTGCTATGGGGGAGGTTAAGGATTTGGTGGATTTGGAGAATGAAAGGGAGGTGTTTATGCCTGGAGAGAAGTGAAATTAGGGTATGGGGGAGTAGAAAGTTGGGGTGGTGGTATAAGTGGAGGCTTGGAAGATGGGATTTTATGGTTTAGGAGTATGAGTTAAAAATAAGTTACTACATCAAATCGCTTAACCAATTTTCATTTTATCTAATATCATTTGAAACATAAGATAAAATAAGTCTCCCCTAATCACTACTAAATCCTCATCTCTAATTTCTTCAACTTCAACAACCAAATCTTTCTTAATAAATAAATCTCAAACTCATGACACCTAAAACCTTTCCTAATATTGCCACGAAAATTTACATAATTCAAGTCAAACTAATCAAAAATCCAATTTCCAAAAAACATAAAATCTCAACTCCTATTCTATACACTTTAAACCTCTTTAAACCCTCCTAAAATTATTTTCTTACCTTCTTTCTGAATTGTAGTAAAACTTTAGAAAATCAATGGTGGCCATCTTGCGTCTTCTTCTTTCTTAAAATCCTAATTTTCTTAGTAATTCCAGAGACATCAGGCCTAGAAGAATTTTACGTTAAAATTGATTTTATGAAGAGGAATAAGGACACTCAAGTCTTAGTCTTGATGTTAACAAATCTTAAGACAACTTGTAACCGTTTGAAAGTATAGGGCTCTATTTTAGGAAAAACATAAGCTATTTTAAGTTTTCATGAAATTTATCTTGTTGAAAAGATAATAATATTGTTCTTCGGATTTTCATATTTTTCTGCAAAAGGAATATTAAGATAAAGTACTACTAATGCAAGATTCAGTAAACCCATCAAGCAGTAGTGAAAACCGAAGTTCTTTTCCCTTCTCAAAGCATCACAAGGCCATAAGCGTGTAAAAACCTTGGGAAAATATTAGTTTCTTAATAATAATTCCCAAAAAGTGCGATTTTTACAAAAAATTGAGATAATCTATTCCTAGCTTTGTTATTGCAGGTATACACTTAAGTGCAAATTTACCTTTCTACGTCTTCCTTAGGTCTCTGAATATATTTCTTAAGCTTGTTCTGACTCTCTTTCACGTCTTCTAGAACTTCTCTTGCAATATCCAAAGCTTTCCTAACGGGAGTGACTGTAGTTCCTAAATCATTAGAAAATTTTTAAATTAGCTAGCTTACTTTTAGCAGGGACTATTAAATTCTCAAGCTTTGTGCTAAGAGAGTTGTTAAATACCACCCCTTTTCTTCTTTTATCCCGGATTTGGATCCGCTCTATATGAAACTTTAGTACTAGTAAAATGAGAATCATAAAGCATATGAGATTTAGTTTAAAAATATTTTGAGGCTGTACAATCAACAGAAGTTTGATCATCAAGTCGCATTCATCTTATAGATAGAGGGAAAATATCTCTTTATAGGTTTTAGAGATCGGCTCATCTTCTGGATTCTATTTCTCTTACTAATAGTCCTCATTCTTTTGAAAATTCTTGGTAGATAACTTACTCATGTTAAACATTTCAGAGAAATTTGCAAGCATTGGAATCACTTTGTTTGACTTAGGAATCAAAGAATTCTTGAACCTTAAGGACTCCTGTGTTGACCTTGACTGTGACAATATTGGAGGTAGAGGAGGCTCGTCATGAGACACTACTTTCTTCTTAGAGTTGATAAAAATGCTGAACGTTAAAAATTTAGGATACTCTCGTTTGTTCTTGATCACTCTCCTTGCTACTTTAGGAGTCCCGTTGTGTAGCTTGCCTAATGTTTCTTCATCTATATTATATATCAGTTTTGGCTAACATGAATAGTATTAAAGGGTATAGTTTAGTCAGCTTGGAAGATTCATAAATTTTGACTGAGAAATTTTAAACCAAATATTGCAGTAATTTCTGAAGTCTCAGCAATTTAAAGACTGGTTTAGCAAAGGAAAACTTGTAAAATTATTATCCGGCACTTACTACGTCTCAATACATCTTCAAATTTATTAAGAGCTATTCTCCTTCGGCTTGCAAGGTCCTTTTTGAACAGGCTATTTCTATTGGAATTGCTTGGAGTGAAGGCAAAATCATGTGAATTTGCTTTGTGGTGCTTAGCATTGAGCCTAATCAATAACTTCTGCACTCTCTTATCGCTATCAGCCATTACTTTGTGTATCGTTTTAAATAATTATATTAACTGTATTCAGGCCTCTGTGCCTTTTAGGGGTTTTGGGGTTTTGGGGTTTTGGGGTTTTGGGG